ATCTGTGCTGCTGCTGCAGCCAACAGGAGAAAGGTTTTACTTTGCAATTTGATTCCGGCCAATGCCAGATACCACTAAAAAAACCCAACAAGTACTTTTCCCCATCAGCAGAGCAATGGGAGGCAGAGGCCAACACCTGCTAGGCCCAGGAGCCTTTAGAAGGCATTTTGTTTGGCAACAAGGATAATGAACATGGCTGAGGAAAGAGAGCTGAACATGCTCTTATTCAAATGGGTCACAGAGAAGAGATAAAAAAACACCACTGAGGGGTTTTTGCACGGGTTAAGGAAAATAAGCTGTTTCCTCTCATGCCATGAATTTGATCAGAGTAGATCACAGGGGTGTTTGTCAGTCAGAGCTGCTGCTGTCTGTGCTCCATGGGGGGTTTGCATACTGGCACATTCTGCATTGGAGAGTCCACAGATGGTGGTGAAGGGACCGAGCAGCTGGAAGTGGCTGGTGACAAAGGTTCTGTCTTCACGTTGGCATCTGCAAGAGGCAGGTAAAGACATTTCACTGCACAAGCTTTTAGCAATGGAAAAAGTAAAGAACACGCTGTCCTACACCAGATATTTAATTCCCAAAGCAAGGCACAGCAGAAAACGCAGGGAGATTAAAAGTATTAAACAGCTTGGCTTGTAGGGCAGCCCTTGCCAGATGTACCCATCCTATAAAAACACAGCCTAATGCTCATCACAGAGCAAAAGGCTGTAGGGCATCAAACAGCTCCACATGAGTTTTAAGAGCTCACCCTTGTGGGGCAGGAGGGGAAGAGCAACACCTACAAATATAGAAGTTAATTACCTGCATAGGCATGGCCTGTAATATTCCAAAGATCCGAGTCCCAAGACATCAAATCCAAATCAAAGTGAAAGTTATAGAGATCATTCTCCTGAAATGACAGTTCAGCAAACGAGATAAGACAAAAAGAAAGATGCATTGACACCATCAGTCATTATGTTCACATTCTTACAGCTCCAGAAAACAAAACAAACAATGGAACTACCAATCACTTCAGGTGCCTTAAGGTATGCAGAGATGAAAATCTTTAAAGGAGAAATTCTCAATTGAAACACACAAAACAAGGCTTCTTTTAAGCTTACACCTTTAGGAAGGGGAAGGTCAGTTTAAGACCATCACTAATTATCATACTGTTATTTGTAAAGCAAAAGTTCTAACTTCAGCCATTGAACCACCTCACATAAAACAGAAGTCTTAGGAACCCGATGACATCCTCTCCTTCATCTGCCTTGAAAAAATTCATTTAATGCTCTTCTACCATCACATCTCAAAGCATTTTACAGACAAAAGCAACATCAGGGACAGTTTACCAGCAGGAAAACAGACACAAGACTGATTTGCCCAAGACCTGATTAACAGCATGTGTTAGGTCTCCCTATACCTGAATACACTGATGTGTCAACATCTAAAGCCAAGGATACCAGCTTCCTTTTCCAACAAAAATCAAAACAGCCTAAAATCACTCCATACATATTATTTATTATATGACCTTTAAAACAGCAGTCGGGGTTTTTCTCCATTTATTCTGCTTGTGCATCTCTAAGTCTCAGTTTCCTATACAAATGTGGCCCTTAATAAGCATTGCATGAAAAATACAAACATGACCTACCCAGCTTATACAAATACACAACGAAGATTTTCCTAAAAACTATACTGCAACTATACTTTCCCTTATACTCTCAACTTGCCTTGTGAAGAGAGGCTCAAAAAGCCTGCAAACTGCACAGAGAATGGTATTTACAAGTTAGAATGAAAAGAAAGCTCATCAGAGCACGTTAAAAGGAAGAATGACCAAAAAACCACAATGTGAGCTGTGCATTAAGAGCCTTTGCCCAGGCAAGTAATGCCGACCTGCTGATGGGGAATAATACCTTTCCCTTGCACAATCAGTCTGTTCCCACATTTTCTCCAGTGTCTGGTTCTACACCTATAGGAGAGCTGTTAGAATCTGGGTTGATAATCCATGGGATGATAACCCCATGTGCTGGAGGTGGATTAGGACACAGTGAGCAGAGACACGGCAGGGGAAGAATACCGACTGGAGAATCCACGAGGGAAATGCCCCAGGAGAGAAACGGCAGTTCGGACAGGTGGGCAGTGAAAAAGACAGGGATTGACGCATAAGGCTGCAAGCAAAGGTTTTTGGAGAAAATCCTACATTAAAGAAGAATACAATAAGAAGTAGAAGGAATCTAATAGGCGAAGGCATACAGAAGAGGCGACGTGGATGCAGGTGTGACACACCCACCCTTCTCTTAGGCAGCCCGGAGACAGCGCTCCGCCAGCACTGCCCTGGGGTTCACGTTCCCCGGGGCAGTGACCACACTGCTCCTCCTCCAGGGCACCTGGCACCCTCACCGTGCCCTCCCCGTTTTGCCCTCTCCGCAGCCGTGCCCCGCAGTGTTTCAGCGGGGCGAAGGCCGGCCCCGCTGTCCCGCCGGGCTGCTCGTGGCTCTCCCCGCAGGCAGAGCCAGCCCGGCTCCGCCATCCCCGCTACTCACGTCGGGCTCGTCCTTGGGGGCCGCGGCGCCCAGCAGCTCGCTCAGCTCCTCGCCCAGCACCGCCTCTGCGGAGAGACAAGGGGGCTCAGAGCCGGTCCGGCCCCGCCGGGGAGCTCCGCGCCGGCCCAGCCCCGCTCCCAGCCCCCCGAAGCCGCGCTCACCCCAGTCCAGGCCGCCGCCCGGGGCGGGCAACAGCCCCGCCGGCTCCCACTCGGGCTCGACCGCCGCCATGGCTTCCCGTTCCTCCCGATACACACACGTCTGCTTCCGGTACGGCTGGGCCCGCCCCGTACGGCGGCCGCCGGCGGACATGCGGCGCAGCAGCGCGGTTCGCACGGCGGCGCTCCGAGCTCCGCAGGGAATCACCGCTTCCATGCGGCTGGAAAAGCCCTCTGAGATCAGCGAGTCCAACCCATGACCCAACAGCCCCTTGTCACCCAGGCCATGGCACTGAGGACCGTGTCCCCTCCGGGGACAATGACTGCAGCATCTTCCAGGGCAGCCCATCCCAGTGTCCAGTCCTTAAACACCCCCAGGGATGGTGATTCCACCACCTCCCAGGGCAGCCCATCCCAGTGTCCAGTCACCCTTTCTGTGCAGAAATTCCTCCAAATGTCCATCCTAAACCTCCCCTGTCACAGCTTAAGGCTGTGTCCTCTTGTCCTATCACAAATAGCCTGGGAGAACCAAATATCCAAACCCCATCTGGCTCCGATCTCCTTTCTAGCAGTGACAAGGTCACCCCCGAGCCTCCTTTTCCCCAGGCTGGACACCCCCAGCTCCCTCAGCCTCTCCTCATTGGATTTGTGCTCCAAACCCTTCACCAGCCTCGTTGCCTTTCTCTGGACATGCTCCAGCACCCCAACATCCTTCCTGAAGCGAGGGGCCCCGAACCGGACACAGCACTCGAGAAGTGCCTCACCAGTGCCAAGTCCGAGGGAAGAACCACTTCCCTAGTTCTGCTGGCCACATTATTTAATGAGGACTTTCTCTTCCTGCCCAGGCACGCAGGAGGCATTAGTTAGTGAGAAAAAGGTGTTTATTCAGACCCCGCTGACACAAGCTCAGAGGTGGAAGCGTGAGTGGAGCAGCCACCAGGGAATGTCCAAATTCCTGGTGGGAGAATGTCCAAGGGCGGGGTGGCAGACTGTCCCCAGCACGTGGCTCTTGGCCCCTGGTGGGTCTCCAGCTGCTCCCCTTCTCAGGGAAGAATGCACATGTGGAATGGTGGCAGTGTCCAGGGACAGCGCTGGTCCAGGCTACAGCCACGGGCACGGAGCCCCTCTGTGCTCCAGCAGCAGCTCCTGCCCTGGGGACACGGTGGGTCTTGGTGTTGGGCAGGCTGGAGGCACAGGAGAGATGGAGCTGGAGAGTTAGACCCGCTTCAGTGGCACCCAGCAGCACCCCAGCCAGGAGGAGGATGGCCACCGGGTGAATTTGGAACAGGGTGCTGCGAGGGTCTCACCCACCCTCACCTCACAGGTTGGCATCATACGCTGTGTTGGTGAAGGTGCCCGGCGCTCCCAGGTCACTGCAAGGCAAACACAAGGGAGTGTGTCACCTTGGGAGTGAAGGGCAGGGGTCAGAACAGGGGTTTGCAGGGGTTAGCACAGCCCTGTCGGCCCCACAGATGCTACCATACAAAAACAGCCTCACACAGGCAGATCTGGGTGTTGGTAAGGTGAACACAGGTCTGTGACAGTCACACAGGCAGAGCAGGGTGTCAGCAGAGTGAACACAGGGCTGTGACAGTCACACAGGCAGGGCAGGGTGTCA